TTTGAAGGCTTAGAGATGTAGCTCAGTAGTAGAGCAGCCCTGGGCTCAACCCCCACTACTGGGGGGGGCGCTGATTCTAATTAGTCAAACTATAAGGCAGCTCCCTAGAGTCCCTTCTCATGACCTGACTCCCTTAGGATTCTCCTTCACAGTCTTCTCCCTAACAAAAAGAGTTGTGAATTCCTGAACACAGAGGTTTCAGTAATTTTTGCCCTCAATTACTATCCTAAAGACACTAATTTTCCAGATTCCTCAAAATGTGGAGGTTAGCTCCACAATCTATACTACTGACCCAGTCATTCTAGTACATCTCAACATATGGAAGTTTTCTTTGTCCCTCTACCTTGAATTCTCTTTCTTCTTCCCCAGTTTTTTTCACATAAACGCCCACTGATCCTTTAAGACCCATCCGAGGAAGATATGCTGGTCTTCCCAAACCACTACAAACAGAGAGATTTTTTTTTTCATTGAGTTTATTGGTACTTTTTGAGTATACAGTACAGTTACATTTATCACTGGGATCTTGTACCTTTACATGACAGATCTTGGTTCTCATTTTTCCCCCATACCCCTGCCCTCCCTTCACCCCCTTCCCCCTCCCCTATTTACAAAGACTTTGTTTCCATTTTTGCCTTTTCTCATATTTTTTCTTTTCCCTTTTTTCCCCTACCCTTCCCACTTCCCCTACAGCTTTAGCCGTTTTCTTCCTATTTCACATTATCAATTATACATTTTGAAGCTTATTTACACTTTTAGTTTTTCACATCAGAGAAACTATTCGGTATTTATACATGTGTGTCTTATTTATTTCACTTAAGAGTATGGCCTCAATATGCATCTATTTTTCTATGAATGACTCTAGTTTCTCATTCTTTATGGCTGAGTAGTACTTCATTTTATAAAAAAAACACATCTTCTTTATCCAGTCTCCAACTGATGGGCAATTGGGCTGTTTCCAAGTTTTACCTATTACAAACTGTGCCGCTACAAACATGGGTGTGCATATATCACTGTGATATGATTCCTTTACTTCTCTTGGAAAGATACCCAGCAGAGGGATGGCTGGGTCAAATGGAACCTCTAGTCCTAGTTATTTGAGGTATCTCCACATTGTTTTACACAGTGGTTGCACCAACAAAGGAGAAAGATTCCTTTCTCCTCACAGCCCTGCCAACATTTGTTATCGGTTGATTTCTTGATAGCAGCCATTCTTTCTGGGGTGAGGTGGAATCCCAGTGTTGTTTTCATCTGCATCAACAGAAAGATTGTTTTGGCAATCCCAGATACCTGTCTTTAGCTAGCTCACTGTTTATTCTTAGGGAACAATTTCTTACACTGTCTAATAAGAAAAAACCTAGGTATTGAAACTCTCTGTATGGATGTAAGATTACTGTCTTGTGTTAAAAATATGAATATAAAGAACTTACAAAGATAAAGGTCTGCCTGGATCTGAGCCCTATGTGGAGAAAGGTCCCTACCAGTTTTTATTACTTTAAGAGGCTTAACAAGGGAGCTCCTCGTAAGCTGTTCACATAAGTCTTGACCAAAACAGAGCAGAGATGTCAGAGATGAAACTCTTAAGCAAGACATGCTAAAATGAAATTCACTCAGAAAAAGACAGTCCAAAAAGAACCTGGGAAATAAGGAACCCAAAATAGTAAAGTTCGGTGTGTCCTTTGGGGATAGAATCTAGCTATAAACAGGGAGACTCAGAAAAGGCCAGACTTTGGAGAACAGGCTCTGTATTATGGTAGCTTATAAATCTGGCTGCTTTTATATTTCTTATATTCTCTTATGCTTCCTCCTTTGATTCAAAATGGTTTCAGGTTGTCCTAATTGCTCTACAGCAAACTTCAAGGAAAGGGTTTTTTATCCACACATGGGCTTGATGATTTGAGTATTGTCATCCTATTACTGAGGGCAGTAGGAGGGAGAAAGTGGTAATCCAAAAGAAAGTCAATTCTAGAGAACAATAAGGGCTGTAGAATCTGGCCATTCTTCCCCATTTGAAAATTCTCCTTCAATATTATAACTTAAAGATGGTGATTTTTTTAATTAAATGATATTCTTCTAATATTTTCCCCACTAAACTATAAGCATATTTAAAGGACTTTGTCATTTTCATTACTGTAATATACACACATGACTGGAACAAAATAAATTCAAATATTTGTTTTTGGAATGAATGAAACAGTGTATGACTTTCAGAGTTTTAAGGAACCTAAAAGCCACCTAATGCAATACTTTCTCCACAAATGTACATTTGTTCATCAAAATACTCATTCAACAAATATCAACTGAATGTCTGAGATAGTTAAGACAATAGAAAAACAAACATAAGAACTAGATCAGTCACTGATACAATGAATGTTCACAGAGGGACTCCTATGTGCCAGGTACTATGGTAGGACCTTTAGACGCTGCATAGAATAAGAAACAGAGTTCCCTAGAGAACTCACAGAACATAAAACACACATGAAGTGTGTTTAAAACAGTACTGTTTAATACAGAAAACATTAAGTGCTTTCAAAGGTACACATAAAGGTTATTTGGAATCACAGATTGGACAGTACTGAAAGAGGGAGAGGGAGGGGAAGGGGACAGGGCGGGGAGGAAGGGAGGGGAGGAGGAGGGAGGGAGGGAAAGAGAGAGACAGAGAAAGAAACTAGAGTTTCATAAGAACTTAAAGGACACTGCCTCTCAGGTATAGGACGTCTTTTGTGACTAGACTTGCAGTTCAGGGATGAAAATTGATTAGTTACCAGCTAAAACAATTAATAGTAATAGTTGTTTAGGCTTTGCTGAAAATCGGTATTCTATCTTCACAATTTAGCATTGTATCAAGTAATACTGATACTGGATTTGAAAAGCAAGAATACAGATGAATTCTCTCTTAATGTGAAACCTAACCAAAACTGAGCTCTAAATTATAGTTGTTGTCATGTTTGAGTAAATGACCCAAAGAAGCACAGACTTTGTCAATCTGAGTTAAAATATATGGAAAGAAAAATCCTGACTTCTGTCTGGGCTTTATTTAGCAGTACTCTGTGAAAAAATAATTTCTATCTTATATTGTAAACTAGTAAAATGAAAATATAGCTGAAGTGTTTCTTTTGTCCTATAATAAAATGATTTATTCTGCAGTTTCTTTTATATATACAACTTTAGCTTCTCAAACATTTTGAAACATACTGCCACTAGAGCTGTCTCCTTGAAGACAAAAGCCGTGAAATGGAAAGCAGAAGTTTCAAAACTAATATCAAAGGAGTTTAGGTTTAACTATCTTTCTCCTCCTGATTCACTGAATTTGTTAATTTACTAATTTAAAATTGATTATTTTGATCTCTAGTAGTTAAGAATGGGAAAGTGACATCTATCAATATATTCCTTCAATGTATTTTGTAGATTGTAGTCCGTTAAAAATAATTCTATGACAAAGAATTTCTAGATCCTCTTAATAGGATTTTGCCTCTACGGAAAAATTAAATACTGTCATAAGACTTCTTTATGAATTTCAAAAGGCTCCTGACCATATATTCCACTTCAGCCATTACATTTTTTTCTGTTCATTGCAGATTGACTGCCATTAATGTATGTTTACCACGTTTTCTACTGGGTCTACATAGGAATGATCCAGAGCCATCTGTATCCAACACCATTTACACAGGAAAGTAATACACATGCGTAATATATTCATCCTAGATGCACTGGAAGAACCAATCATATGAATTAATCTATCAAACAAAAATTTGGAGGTCACATTATATACAAAATGCTGACATGACTATAAAAACAGTAACACTTTGTTTCTTTACCTCTGCAATTTTAGGAGTCACCATGGAAGAAAATTCTCTACCTCTGAGTGATTTCGAACTTATGCAGTATTAAGAAAACCTGCCTAGTCTTTAAAGTAAATGCCCCTTGTCATGCAGTGGCACATTTTCAAGAATGTTTATAGATACTGTCAAAGGAACAATTCCAGACACATTACAGTAACTAAGCAGCATTTCTCTGAAAATTATCTTCATCAGCCTTATTTCTGTGTATTAAAGGACATTAAGTTAAAGTGAAAGCGCAGTGCAAGGGAGAAAATCGAAGACAGAAAAACTAGCTTCACTTCTGTAAATTAAGCAAAATTAAGCAAAAAGAAAGGAAGCAAGCAAAGGGAAGGAACTCTAAAAGCTATCTGCTGCCATAGTACCTTCCGAGTTCTTAGGCGCTTCCTGAGCTCAAAGACATAAGGAGAAAAGAGAGATGAGAAAAGAGAGACGGTACCACAATGGAACCTTAAATTATTTACTCTTTTCACAATTTGGAAGATTTTTCCGGAACCAAAAAAAGATACATGGATTAAGTAGGAATGTCTGGGAAAAGGTACTGGCATTTGCTTTCTCAGTTTGGAGCCCTAAGAACTGCACCAGAGAGGGGCCCCAAGTCCTTAGTTATTTTGAAAGGCAGCTAGGAGCATCTTCCCAAGGCACACACCTGCAGGGCCGAACGGCTCCTCCCCCTCCGTCCCCAGGGATGGACCGAGGTCCAGCGTCCCGCGCACCTTTAGCCCGAGGGACACCCCAGCTCCGCCGGCGCCACACGACGGTGGATGGGGCCGGAGCGCACGGCACGGTCCCGGGTCCGCTTCCCTCAGCCCCGAGGAGGCGACGGCGCTCGGGAACGTGGAGGCAGAGCGCTCGGGGACCGCTGGCCCGTCCCGCCTCCCTCGCGGCCGAGGAGCAGCAGCCTGTACCTGTCCTCTGAGACGCTGATGACTCCCTCCTCCTTGGGCACTATCACGGCCATGTTCACCACCTCCTGGGACCCCTCGACCCGCTGCAGAAGGATCGGCTTGCGGGTCAGCGGCTTGGGCTGGATCTCCGCCGCCATCGGAGGAAGGGGCACGCCGGGGGCGCCGCCACCAACA